GGCAGCACGCCCCGCCGGCAGCACGCCCGGCCGGCCCCGGCGCAGCCCCCCGGAACTCCGAGAGGGGGCTGCAAGGGCCTCGGTAAGGCGTGACCGAGGAGCGAGCAGTGGAAATGGCTCTAGTTCCGGGTTCAGGTGTATTGTACCTGTTCAAGTGACTGAGATCCACGCCCTCCTTCCGCGAGGCACTTCACCCATTTTCCACTAACGCTATCCTCCCAACGTGTACCAGCTGCCAACAGCCTCTGAAATACTCGGCTCCAAAACTTATCTTCAAAATAACCGTTAAATTTCACTGCGACTATGAACTGGCACCTGCAATGCTTTGGGAACCACAACTAAATTTCACCGTTTTACAAGGAAGGTGGTGGTACAGTCACAAAAGGCATTCCTAGCAATATATTCCTAAGCAGTAAAATAAAACATTCAGACCTTTTCCAAAGGTATTTATTGCATATAGCATTTATTTTTTTCCTAATTAAGAAGTTTCCCATAAGTATTAACAGTTAGCACATTCAGAAATGTGTTTATCACATTACTCCATGACACCTCAGAACAAGCAAGATCATTTAAAAAGAAGGGATCATTCTTAAGAGGTAGGCGGAAAGTCTTGTACTTACATAGTTTTATATTAAAAGGGGCAAAGGAAAACAATCACATCTGTGAAGAATATTAAATTTAAGCCAGTTGTATCATCTGTGATTCACAAGCTATGTTTTTGTGTGACTACTGCAGCTTCATTTTGTTAAATTGCATACTTCCCATATCACGTATATTAAAGTTTACTGATACTAAAAATGTCTTAACCCTTCTACTAATCAACTCCTAGAGCATGCTACTACTCAGGCTTTTCTTAATAAAAATGCTTTGTTCACATGACTAAGAAACACTGCAGAACTGCACAGCCACTAAGAAAGTAAGCATCTGTCTTCCATAAATTTATTTTTTTTTGGTAATTATTAACCTGGAATTCCATGTCATAAATATTAACTAGCAGGTGAGCAAGCTAGAGTAAGGAGCATGGTAAGATAAGGATTTGACTTTTTGAAAACACTCAAGCAACTTCTCAGATAATTTTCAATACTAAATAAAATCAGTGTATTTAAATCAGAATAAACCAGGCAGTTGAAATTGCAAAAAAACCCAATCTAGTTAAGCGAAGAATGTCTTTAATTTCACTGGTCTCAGTCATGGCTGAAGGGAATGATGAAAAAACTGTAATACAACTGTATCCTCTTCACAAACATCCTTTTTCCATGTTAGCTCAATATAGGGAACAAGATGCAATAAGGGAAACCATGTAGTTCAAAACTTACAATTTTGAAGCTAGGAAAGCTGCGAAATCCGTCCTTCAGAATACAAATATTTAAATATTCCTTACATTTCTGAGTGCTACTCTGACTAAAACCTGGCATCCTTAAAAAGTATAATTAAAGCACTTATTTCAAGCGTCTCCGACAACCAGTCGGTGAAACAAATCCTCCAGAGAATGACCTGCATTCACAAGGACTGAGTAAGAATTTTCACTGAAAGCTTTGTAAGACTTGGGCGGTTACAAAAAGCACGCAAGCTATTACCGCTCTCCCCTCTGTTCCTTATGTGAGACTTTTCTGAGGGAGACTGGAATGACTTGAGAATCAAAGTCATCTCCAAAAACAACAACTTTTCCTAAGAGATGCATTTAAGCCATCCTACATAATAAATACTGTATAAATCCATAGGATACACCGACAAAAGTTTGACACTGGAACAATACACTTTTCACTGAGAAACTTACTACTATGTGACAGATTTAGCTTAGAAAGTGCCCATTCATAATGTAGCTCCATTATTTTCAGTTAACTACAGGCATTTCAGTGGATGACATCAGTGAAGCTGACATGACTAGGCACCAATGCCACAATCTCCTCCCTATGACACACTTCCAGGTCATTTCACAAAGATTCCATTACCACCAACATGTAATTAATCTTGAAGTCTGACACTAACTGTTGAAAGTTCTTTAGTCATCATTAAAGCACTTAAGTGTACAATGCAACAAACTTGCTGACACATGCTAAAAAATACAGGCTATATGCAATTCAGAATGTAACTACTGCTTCTCAATACAAAGTTCCTTGCAGCAAGAAGTACTATTCTTTACTCATCCACTGAAAATAAAAAAATTTTCTAAACTGCATTGTTACAAACAAGATTACATATTATTCTAACCAGTTCTAAGCTTTTTGGAACCAAAGAAATCTCCATTTTAACATCCCAGAACCTCAAAGACTTCAATCTGCTTCAGCACTAAATCCTTACACATGCCTCTCCATTACTTTCCAAACTAACATGGCTTTGCCATACTACACAGAACATCAAGAACATTCAAGCAATCTAGAGTCTATTAACATCAGTTTTTAACGACACTTTCTTCAAAATATATTTGCCACTTCTGAACGCTTATCCTGTTGTAGAAACCAATTTACAAAATGTGACATCCACAGAGAGGCTGCTGGCCCAAACATCTCTTTCAGTTGCATGTAGTAATAATAAAAGATAATTACTTATTACCACATATATAAAAAACCCTAAGACTTCCAAATCAAAGATAGTGACTCATGAAATTATCTTTTCTTGATAGCACTCAAACCATATGGCAACATGAGTTTTATTTTTAGAAGGAAGTACAATTGAATGGCGAATTCCCTACAATACCATCTCTTATCACAAAGTGATTCAGGTTTCGAGATAATTTTAACAACAGTATGACATTCCAACTTTTAAATATTAAAATATATTAATTATTTTATAGATAAAAAGATAAGTTTGCCAAAAAGTTATCCATTTGTGTTCGAGCTAACTTTGGGACTTCTTTGTTTTTTGTAAACATCCACCTCACCATTAAATGATGAGCTGCAAAAGGTCTTTAGTACAACTGTTTCTCAAGCTGCATATCTTTAGGGACAGAAGAACTGTTGTGCTGTATATTAATTTTAAAAAAAAACCCAAAACCATATACTAGAGAAATAAACCATTTGGTAAGCACATACACATTTCCAAGAGAAACAATACTACTGCAGCATGAAACTACAGAATCACTCAGCCACCAGGAAAGACAACAATAATAATCCCATCATTTGGCAGTACGGCTTATACATAGGACTGGCTACTCTGTACTACACTATACACATAGGAAGGAACAGGACACGTAGAAGTACAATCCTTCCACTAAGAATATGAATTTACCAAGAATAATAATTTTTTTCATTAGGAAAAAAATGAAATGAGATGATCAGAATGCTTCGTTATCTAACTTAGGACCCACAGAGAATCAGTAAAAATCAGGCAGGTTTACATATGTGCATGTTCATACACTGTACTGTGAAAGTATCAGAAGTAAACAGGCTGTAAGTGTCCAATTTACTGACTGGGAGTTAATCTGGGCCAACACTGAAATTGAAGCAGGAGATAAGACAGCCCGAAAGAAACTCTTCACATTTGTGTTCTGCTTTCAGAACAAGATCCAAACCTGATAAAATGGATTCAAGGCAACTTAAAATTAGCACTACCTGTTGAAAAAGAACACCCTGCACATTAATCTCTTTGAAACTGTGATACAGAAGCTACCATAACAGAAGTACCCAGATCTTGAGATGAAAGTCTTTGAATTGCAGACTTCAACTCCCAGAGACATGGGCCATTTGCCCTCATCTGACATGAATATGCTCTCGGAGCCTATACAGGTGTCATTAGATAGTAGATTAACTGTTAATTGGTAATAAGTCTTGACCCTGGAATGATCTCTTGACTACAATTTATCAGTGTCAGGTAGTACTTTGGTTGAATGTAACCTTTTTTTAATTAAGAGAACTGTGTAACACTAACTTTTAATATAATTGAGAATGGATATTTTTGACATTAAGACAAAATTGTGAACACAATAAAAAACAAAAGTGAAGATTTAACATATTGGCTACAATATTATATTGTTCAATTCCTGAATGGATTTATTTGCATGTACCTGTCCTTAGAGGGAAATAGCAATGATTACCAAAAGACATTACAAACTTTTACAACATATCAACCAGTGCATTATTGGTGCCCTAGTTACACTAGTTATGTGTCCAAGAACGCCTCTTACAGACACAAGTTTACTATAATCGTGGGGAAAGAAAAACACACCAACCTTTAAATCACTTTTCTATTAAGTGCAATTAGTGCTTGTATCATGTGCCAAACCAAGATGTTTTATCTACAAGATAGCGTAAGATCCCCCATACTTCTGCAAACAACTGATATTATGGCTAGAATATCTGTGTAACTCCCAAGCTTTACTGAGTATGACTAGAGTTCCTACTGGTGACAACCTATATTCATCCAGGAAGAACTGCACTGTACTTATTTCCTAATGGTAGCTGAGATAACCTTGATTTACTGAAGCAGAATCTAAATTTGCAACTTAAGTTGAGAAAGGTCTGATATCTTACTAGTCATTCAAACAGTTCAGCTTCTATTGTGGCTTAGGCTTAAATCCTTTGGCCAACAGACTGAAGTTCACAGAACTACAGTCCTGCATTCTGAAAAATGGACTAACAGACATCAAAGCTCAAACTCACTTTAGTGAGGTCAGTGCATAATGATTGTATTAGGTCTGTGAACAAAAATAAGGATCTCTACACTTGTGAAAGACTACACTGTGTGATTGTTAATATCCAAACAAATTAAGGTTTCTGTGGCAACAAAGAAATGCACTTGACCATTTACAGCAAAACAGATTTATACAATAACAACAAGTAACTTATGGCATCATCTACCTGCAAATGAATTCCTTCAGCAGGTACACACAATATATTGCTCAGTCATAAAAATATATATTATCTCTTTCCTTTAACATTTAGGTATATAAATATTTTACAGAAGAACATGCATCATTTAGATAAACAATTGCAAGAACATCCTCTGAAAACATAGGGTTGACATTTAGCAGTATAAAATGATTACATAAACATAGCTATTAAAGTCAAGACAAACCAATACAGCAGTAAGCAGTCCATTCTGTGCTAGTCCAAAGAAGTTAAGCACCTTTTTCAATAGGTTATATAATATATACACACACAGAGAATGCGTTGCAAATAGAGCAAAAATCGCATAATTCCATCTGCATATTCTTCAGTCTTGTTTGGACTCCAAACTTACTGTTCACTTTTCTGCTCTTGCTTTCCATTCAGCTCTTGGTCAACTCTGCTTAGCAAAGAAAGCAGTAAGATTAAAACCATGTTACGAAGTAGTCTAGTTTGATAGCTCATATTAAGCAAAAACTATTCATCCTATCAGGAAAACACAAAGCTTTTACATGGAAAAAGTTTTAGTAAATATATCTTAAGATTTTTATTGAATGTACTCACAACAGTGCTTTTAAGTAAAAAAAGTAACTATTCTTCTACCTCCCCCTAGAAATTAAAGTTGTTAAGAAACCATTTAAATTATAGCATTTGAAAGGAAGCATTTGAAAAGTGCAAGTGAAGTTTGACTACAGAAGAAAAAAAAGCAGGTTCTGTGCTTTTATTAATGAATGCAAGCAGGAATACAAGTTTACAGGTAACATGACAATATCTTCAAGCACTACTACTTTGATGAATTCATGACTGAAGAATAAGCACAGAATTACTTTTAATGTTACAGTAATTAAGCCAAGAAGGTAACAGCACTAGTCAAATCAACAAAAGTTAAGTGGCTCCTTAACTGCAATACCTTTTCTATTTAAAACTCTTGTAATTACCCGGGAAATATTCACCATCATGCTGCTAATGTTGTTTTTTTGCTTGTTGGTTTGGGGGTAGGGGTTTTTTTTTTGTAATCTGCCTCGGAACTAGCAAACAAAACATTGCTTTGCAGAAACAAGTGATAGTTGACAGTCCTGCATGAGATGTACTTTTCCTCTTTACAGTAACAACATGCTACAGTCTTAACGATATCTTCTAGAAAGTAAGTTGTGCATGGAGGGAAATTAAACCCATAAGAAGAGGAGGCAAGTGGGTTGGGGATTTTTGCAGCTGTTAACTGAACCTAGCATATAAGGTCTGGAACAGTGTTGTCTGGAAGCAACAGCCCTGGTCGAATACCTGTTCACCTGCACAGTATGCAGGTGAAACTAATCCCTGTCCTCATTGCAGTATCTTCAAAAAACATGTTTTCACATGACTTAACAAGGCTGACCACAGAAAGTCTAAGAAAATAAGCTATGCAAAAGCATATAGCTGACAATATAAATCCACAGAAGCGTATCATATTTTAGCTTCCAAAGTGACCCATACACATAGCCAAAAAATTCCTACTTCCATCCTCAACAATTCAGTAACTGAACTTCAACACATCTCCTTTCCCACTATTATACTAAGTAATGCCTACAACTGCTTTCCATCTGATTGAAGTCTCAGTATCAAATAGTGCCTGTGATCTTTCCTCAATATGTAAGCTTCACTTAGGAACATATCACTTTTTATAAAAAGTGATGGTGGTATAAGCAATGATATTGCCAGGGACACTAGAAGGTGCTTGTTGTACTGAAAATTTGTAAAAGTTTTGACGTTACTGTTTGAATGTCTCAGGTTTGCATCCTGAATACAATGAGCCCTGTAATAGAACTGGGCCAAATTATGTATGCTGGGGAAGAAAAAAAAAATCAAGCAGAACTGTTGTTCAATATGTACTGAAAGGGTTTCTTAGTACTTCAGGTTATACACTGCAAAATTATCACTTAATTGGAATAATTCCTAGAAAACATTGAACACTTGTCACCAGCTTTACCTGTTAGCTTTCAGAAATAATTTAAATGCTTTTAATTTCTCAGTGTTCCTCTTTATGTTCATTACACAATTTAGACAATAAGCCTCTCTCAATAGTTATGCACACACAGGAAGAGTAATTATAAAAAAAAGCAAAGTTAGTAGCAAAACCTTTCAGTACATTTGTTAGTGACAGTGAAAAAGTAACATATCCATTCAAAAAATTTCATCAGCTGCTGGAATAGCTTGAATAGTTAGCAAGAGACTGAAAATTAACAAAATGAAAATCCAATGTTTATTAGCAAGGAGCATAGGCACTGCAAATACAAACAGCACTAAAACTAATAATTTAGATTGCATCTGTGCAAGTTAACTAAAAAAGTAGTGAATACCAAAAATACAAAATGCAAGATGCAATATTAGAACTACTTCCAGTTGCATCTCTGCTGACGCATAGCTACAGCTTAGCGCCTAAAACCAACTCTTCCTTCAGACATCACTTCTGGTCAGTAACAGTGAAGCTTGATTTAATTAAGTCATACAGAAGCACTACTTTGGCCTCTTGAAGATTCGGTTGAGAATCTATGTATCCCCTTAAAAGTGAGCATCTCATGTAATGGAGAGTATTCACAAATATCTGCCTGAACATCCAGGGTGAGTTCTTTTAGATGATACACTGTACTTGCAAGCAGTATAGTTACTGTCATGCTTAAAGACTTAGTCACTCGTGCATGTTTATATTTACAAATGCTTATTCCTTTTTGCAAGCCCATCAACTGGGAGTTAGTTGCAGTGCAAATTGTCTTATCTAGATGCAACCCTAATCAAAATATGAATATACCTTTTCTGTTTCTTTCTAAACTTTTCTTCTTCATACCTTGGTGAGGAAAAGTTTGATTTCAGTAAATATAACATATGAAGGCCAAATTCAACAGAAGCTGCAATCTGGTATTATTGTCAGTACAGTTTGTACAAATATACCAAGTTTTGGAACTGATAATTAAGAAAAAAATATATTGTACCTCCAACATTTATAAGCATTCAACAAGAAGCATTAAGATTTAGTTACTATGACATAACATATGAATTCAATACAACTTCCTGTCAAGTATTAACATCCATCACTAAAATTTAAAGCCTGTATTCAAAACAATTTGAAGCCAGATATAATCCTACACAGAAATCTGAGAATTAACTCCACCTGTCAAATAAGTTCAGCCTTTGCAGAAAAATTAAAAGTTCATCAATACAGAAAGGAATCTTTCAAGACTTGGAATGACAGTCTGAATATTCAAAACATATCCCTCAAAAGCCCCAGTAAAAAAAAACCAAACCATATTCTAAAGACAGTACAAGACTGCTTTAGCATTGTCACGTCTTTCCACCCCAAGAAAAATGCATTTTCTCTATTTCATAAAAATTTAAATCATGCAACTGATACCAGCTGAATGTTTACTGCAATAACCAGCCATTTGCAGGAGTGGGGAAGGAATTTGTCCAACATGTATGTGCCCTCTGGTCCACACAGTAGAGACTATGCCATCTTTCTTTATGGAGTTCCCAGTTTGTGATCACCTGTTGTGATGCATACCCTATAGGTTTTGTATGCTATACCCTCTACTAGGCTAATCAATTTATCATCAGAATTGTTAGTATTTTCATTTGGCTTTAAGACCCAAGTTTATAGTTTCTACTCTATTGCTGCACCCACAGATACTACTGACAAAAGTGTCATCATCATATTTGAAAGCAGAGTTATGCTGGCATTAAAATGGATATTTATATCTGGAAGGAAGGAAGAGGAAAAAGCTAAGGACACTGATGCTGCCCTAATGACCAAAGTAGTTTTAGAACTGTTATGGGTAGGGATTGAGCATTTTTTCACCACAGCTCTTTTAAATTAAATCCCAACCCAAGTGATATTTCATCACTTCACTTGTTACACATTTTAGCACGAAAACTGAAGATACTGTAACTTCAGTATAAACATGACCAGAACTTCTCATTCACAAGCCAGTTTAGTATACTAAGGGGTAGAACAACTGGACTAAGGTCTTCTCTCTAGAAGACTTGATTCACACCCCCTAACTTGGTAATCATGTAAGGCACTATCTGTGAAGATCCCTATACGTTAACATTTTGACTATCCGTGCGTGCTACTGCATACCAAACTGAAGTTAGAAATGTGGTCAAACATGGGTAGTTCTCCTAGAGATAGCAATGATCTGAGTTAAATGAAATTTTATTAAATGCAAAGTATTACATTCAAAACAATCACTGTATACAATAAATACTGGTTCTAAAATATAATCAGCGTAGAACATGTTTGAATAAAACGTACTGTTTTATGCAATCTGGGATGCCAACGTATTCCATGGGGATGAGTTCAGCTAGTTCTGCCAGGGTAAAGACATACCTAATTTTTTGGCTGAATTTTGAGCTGTGGAAGAACGAATGCAGGGTACAGTTACAACTTACAAATTTTTCAGTAGGTCAATATTAAAACAGTTTTTGAAGTTTAAAGTAAATAGTTGTTAGGATTACTTTTTTTAAACAAACAAAAAGAAATAGCTTTCAGAGTATTACCTAATAAAAGGTTTTGTGATGGCCAGAATTGTTCTGATGAACCAAGAAGGATGAACTATGATTAATGATTTCAGATTTTTCCTTAACCTGAAGAATTCAAACAGTGAACATAATTACTAGAACAAAAAGGCAGCATGACAAGGTGTTTAATATATAAAAAGTATGCTTTTGCAAGCACAATCAGTCAGATCAGTCTGGTATTCTGATATTCCATTATTCATTACTATCTGCCAGAACAGAAAAATACCACACAACCACATAGTCAAAATTTAAGATATAGTATCAGTTTGACAACACTGACAGGGAAATAACATTCCAAAGACAAGTGCTTTGAATCTTTTTACATGACTAATGATGAAGTGGTTCACAAAGGACACCCACCCCCC